ACGTTTTATCATTAACTGAATAAAAGGAAGATAATGTACTGTAGTTGTGTACTGTTGTATTTGAACGATTATTCCAGAATATATCAATTTTCTTATCTTCTATCACAATTGATAAGTGGATGGTGATATTACTTGTCTTTTTAAATTGAATTCTAAATAAATGACATACACCTTTGTGTGTAGAATAAGTGTTTGAGGTTTCCTTAGTCAAAATACTAGGTTCTGTTATCTTTCTGTGTTCAATTGGAAACAGTTTGGGTTTTGAATCAATAGCATTTCTAATATTTTTAGCCAAGTGAGAGTAACAGAAGTGATGAAAAGTTTTCTCACTTTTTAAATTTGTAAAATATGTCCAATTAGCAGATCCTGCATCAGAAACAGTGCAACAAATGTTGTCAGTATAGACTTCCTTGAATTTTTCAACTACTTTTTCAATCAATTCACTAGTTTCAGATTTACAAAATTGAAAATTTCCAGGTATTCTAATTTTCCCCTCAACATCCAAAAATAATGTTTGAATTACCTTTTCAGCTAGAAAGTTATTATTAATTATTTCCTCTGTGATAGTGTTTGATTGAGAAATTGGAATTAATCCTTGTATTGCACCAACTAAAAATCCAGTACGTGTATTAATACTCAAACACGGAAATAAATCCATTGCATCAACTTGTAAAACACCAAGGGTTGTATTAGAAATACCCATAGATGATTGGAATAATTCAAATTCCTTTTCGTCAATTGAAGTATCACCATATCCGAAATTTGGTATATGGAAATGATTGTCAAGAGTTGTGGAACAGGGCAGAATTAAATTACAAGCACTGGAATTGGTTTGGAACTTCTCTTTACCAATTGATCCTCTTCCAATTGCATCATACAAATTATATCCCATAGAAGATAATAAATCTTGAGCAAAACACAACATATCAGAAGACCAACGCATTCCTCTAGAATCCGAACAATTTAAAAATTTGAAACTATCCTTTAAATAATTAAAAAAGAAAGTTCTTGGTAGTAGTTTTTGATTTTGTA